TTAATATTTTATATATTTTGATTATGAAGTTTTTACATATTTTAATTTTAGTAATAAACGTGTTATTTGTAATATAAAAATAATAAAAAATTCGCTTAAAACTTACAAATTATAAATGCTTAAAACACTTTGTTTATTATTTTCAGTTGTTTTTTGATGTAAAATAAAGATTAAACTAAGTGTTAGGCTAAAATATTGGTTGGGTAATTAAAAATTACAATTAATTATTAATTTTTTTATAAAAATTAATTCGTAAACTTTGTGATATAATAACATAACTTTTAAATAAATTTCTATGAATATTAACTATAAAATAATTTTCACAACTTTTTGTAAACAATAAAAACTAAAAACTTATTTTTATTAATTTGATTAATAGTCATAATTAGCGGAAATACTTTGTATAAAACATATTCATATACAAAACCCGTGAAAATTATTTATTTTTAGTCAATTTTGTTATTTTCCCAATTTTCATGGAAAACAATATTTTTAAACTAAAAACTTCTAATGGATTCTTAAATCAAATATATAAACAACACCTAATATTAATAAAATTATACAGTGTGTTATAATATTCCTTAATTACTTCACAGATTATAACAAAATATGTTTAGGTCGTGAAACAAGGAGTGTATTATTTTATTATACCGGTATAGCTATATTTTTATTTTATAATACATTGCCCACAATTAAAACATTAATTTTTTACAAATTCTTTGTATATATAAGAATAGTACTGTCTGAATAAATTCTATTGCATATCATGTTTGTAAACTCAAAAATTATATTTAATATCTATCATAGAAACATTGCTAATCAAAATAATAAATAAATATCAACAATAATTATTTATACCTTTTTTTATAATAGCAGTATATATGATATGTTTAATTGACAGCTTTTATACTCATTAAATAACAACATAAATTATTAAACTAACGATAAGGCATGTCAATAAAATACAGGGGTTAGGTCGGGAAAGGCTTATTTGATTTGCTAAATGCTTGACTATTTTTATTACAATAGGGCTGTGAACTGATAATTTTTTATTTTATAATTAATTATATAGTTATATTTGCGAGTAAATAAAGTTTATATTCAAAATATTCATAATTAATATAATTTATTTATTCTAATATTATAAGTATCTGTAAAATTAGTTTGATAGTATGCTCCAAAATTAATTGACTAACATGTTAAATTTCAAAATTTTATTTACTGTATGTATACATCAATCAAAATATTTAATTCAATACATTTTTATGAAAACTAAATTTCAAAATAAACAAAATGAGGATTTTATTAGAAAGAGTGTTGGTTTTATTTTATTATTTTTGTCATCTTTTCATTGTTAACGCCTTAAGGCACTGCATAATATGACGGCTTATGTATGACAAGTCTTTCACTGAATTATACTTATAGTTGGCATATACTGTACAGTAGTTGCTAACATTTCTACCTTGAGTTTCAAAGTTCCATATGATAATAATAATGCTGACCTCAGTGTTTTAATAAACTTCTATACTTTACTTCTAAGCAATAGAAAAAAGCTTTCGACTCACAACTCATCGATAATCCGGCATTTGTTTAAAAACCACAGATATATTATAATAGACAATTAAATTATAATTATACCTGTAATTTAGAAAAATCTATAATATACATATCAAATATTAAGTCACCATGGTTAGGGAATAAAACGATAACTTTAACTCTAACATAAATATTAAAATTCAATTTCTATGGTTTCGTTGTAAATCATTCAAACTTATTGTATTTTGTATTAAACTTTATATTACTTTCTAAATGTGTGAAACGTGAGCACTATTTTGTTTGATTAAAAAACTTCTAATCATTCTTTAGAGACATTTGTGACATATGTTATGAATTATTTTTCTAATGTCTAGAAATTAAATGTTTGGCGAGAGAGCGAGAGAGAGAGAGAGAGAGAGAGGAGAGAGAGAGAGAGAGATGGTTATTAAGAAATGAATGCATTAACTGAAAATGTTTTGGACACAAATGGAAAGGCGAGTCTGAGTGCCAACAAAACCATACATTCATACACTATATTACACATCAGTATTGACTCACATCTTATAACAACTCTATTCTGTATGATTGCATGGATTTGTTGTACACAAGAATTCAGTGTTTGTCCACACATTCAGACATTAATGACATAAAATAGATCACATATGAAGACAGTGTAGACAAAAAGTAAGCCTTTCCTCAAATGATTACATAACTCAGTATTTATCATAATAAGAGATAAGAAGTATTTGCAGATACACTATCAAATATCTAAGAAAATCATAAATAGACATTTTTAGTAGATTTCCATTTAGATTTTATTTAATTAATCAATAAGTAAAATTATATTTAATGTTTAAATAGATTTATAATTACATAGAATTTATTTAAATTTTATTTATTAATGGTGGAAATTTTAAATAAACTATAGAATTTAAATAATTAAATCGGTATTAATTTAGACCAAAATATTTTTATTTAAATGACTTTTATTGATACAACAAATTATAATAAATTATTAATATTTAATCAAACAGTTTTCACAACAAATATTTAATTCAGTCTCACATATAATAAATTCAAATCGCAAAAATTGAATCCAATTTCGCATTCATGTAATGAATATTAAAAACTTAATCTAAAATACCATGAGATAAGCAAATACCTTTTGATTAAAAATATTAGAAAAAGTATTTCCATGAAAAGAAATTAATAATTTTGTTTTTTATAAAATATAAAAACATTAAAAAGAAGAAATCCAAATAAAAAGCAAATAAATAAAAATTTACATCAAATCAGAGCATCTCCAGGATTAGACAAATAACATTAATTAGTCACTAATTATTAATTTACGTCAAAATTATATTTTTTAATCATTAATATAACAGCAATATTTAAAATTACACTCTTTTTCTTTGAACAAACATTTAATGTCAAAATAAAAGTGAATTAAATGCTTTGAAACAAGTTTTTCATATGAAATGAGATTTTTGTTATCATTTTGGTAAGTTTACCAATACTAATATTATTTATAGTTATCTATTATATAATACCAATTACAAAGTGTTTGACAGTTGAGTTCATTAGAAAAACTGATTTTCTTGTTTTACATATAAAACAAATTATAATCTATTTTCTATCGCAAAGTACTGTAGTTTTAAAATAAATTTAATAACAATTTTTAAGCATTAGGTCAGCTATTATAGGGTCTCAAGACTTTGCATAAATTGGTAACAAATATATGATTTTCTAAACAAGAATAAAATATTTTATCTAGATTATATATAATTTAGGATTTAATATTAATATTAGAATTATTTGATTAATAAAGTAATGTATTTTTTTATAAAGATATGTAATTTATCTGAAATGAAAAGTCAGTCGAGCACTAAATTCTTTAATTATACACATTGTATGGTTATATACTAGGATTATGTATGGATGTAATACTGTATTAATTGAATCGAAGTAAGGAGTAAGTGATTTATACAATAATTATTAATAAATATTACAATCATATATTCTTTGATGTATTTAATTATAGGTTCAAATCGATAGGAATGGATCGTCATGTGAAGACTTCAGCCATAATTAGCCGTTTCGTTCTTCCAGGCCTCGATCAAAGCCAAAGTAGACTGAGTTTCGCCTAAGATATCCAGTATTACAAGATTTAGCGTTCAGTTAATCACATGAATTGTCGCATAAAGAAAATGCTAAGAAAAGTATTGATTAAAAAAATGCGTAGACATTAGACATACTCTGGAGAAGCATTTTCTGTAGGCTTTGGTTTTCTTTTCGCAATTTATTGAACCCATACTCCTGTCGCTTGAGAAGTGACCGCAATTTTACGATTTCCTGCTGCAGTCGCGCGATACACGACCACTGGGACTGATAGGCCTCCAGACTCCTGACCCGCCATCGCTCCACCTCATCGTCGATGGCGTTCATCACTTCCGTTCGGTTCCACTCATTGGTTCCGGGCATCGGTGGGTAGTGGCCGTCAAATGGCGGCAAATAACACATAAGTTCGCGGCGACCGTAGGCCGTACTCCGCGGAAGTATCTCCCGCCCGGTATCGTCGACCACCGCCTCCCGGAAGCGACTGTTGAGTATAATATCGTCGCTGAAGTCGTTTTTGCGGAAGAATTCTGTGCTCTCGGCGTCGGCCTGTATGACGAGGGCGTCGTACGGACCCACTTGTGACGGACGCTTCAAACGCTACGGCAATCAGACAATAGTTGTGTTTGTTTTAGGGGTTGAAAAGTTTGCGTTTTTTTGTTTATTTAGTGAGAAAAAAGGTTTGTGTGTATACTTTGAGCAGAAACCTCCCGATCCCACTCCTCCGATATCTGGTGCGCACAGCAATGAACGGAATGCAGACTACTTTAACACCGGGAGACCTGAGGAGGGCATAAGAAAATTGTTACTAATATATGATTTTCATATTTCTTAATTATATATCAATTTTAACGCTTGATATCTAAACCATTAATTTTCATATTGAATATTATTTCTGAGTTTAAAATTGCAATAAAAAACTTCTTTTTTTTGAATACTTGAATACATAATAAAATGCCCTAAAGATGTATACATTTTTGAGTTTACTTTTAATTATAAATTTACGATTTATTCAAGAATTTGCTTTAGAGATGATGTTTTACGAACTAAATATATCTCTAATTTTTAAATAAGGAAATATTTGTATGTGGTTATTATTTTATTAAAATTCATAAAATTTATTAAAAACAGTGTATAAAATTCAAAAATATAAATTAATTCAAATAATACACTGAAATAAATGCTATAAAATAAGACATTCTTGAGAATTAAATAAAAAATATGAAAAATAAATGCAAAACCAATTACATGGAAAAGTAGTTTATTCTCTAATCTGTAGGCGATATCAGAAATCTACTTATGCTCTCTCTCTCTCTCTCTCCGTGTAATTTACTAGAAATGTGATGCTATGATATAATCGATGATTAAGTTAATAGCATTTTCTATACTCTACTGTAATATACCTTAGAATACAATATAAATAATGATTACCAAAAGCTGTGATATACTCCTCCTTATATCCAAATTAATATTTTATTTTATGTTTCTATTTATGAAGAAAATTATAGATCTTATGTAAAGTCTTAATAAAGTCAAGTCTAGACCTAAACAAT